ACAAATTTTAGAGCTAGCGCCATCCCCCAATAGTGCAGGGGGCAATTTTTCCTAGCACCACCATTTTGTTTTTTCGGGTAAAATTTTGACGTTTTGTGTTTTGCTGACCTAGCGCCAGCTAGCGCCACAAATTTTAGAGCTGCCATCACCCTCCAATAGTGTGGGGGGAGGGGGCACCACCATTTTGTCTTTTCGGGTAAAAATTTGATGTTTTCTGTTCTGTAGACCTAGCGCTCAAGTTAACCTAGCGCAATTATAAATTTTGCAAAAAGCCTTTAACTTTTGGGGGTGGTTTATTAGCCTCTAACACCACCATTGTGTTCGATGACTACCAAAAGCAAGCGCTGCGCTGTGTTCTTTAAACGTAGCGCAGAGCTGGCGCCCAATCCCCAACATTGTGGGGGTCCTTTTTTTTATAATACCACCGGTTTGTTTTTTCGTGTACAATTTTGCTATTTTGTGTTTTGCTGACATCTCCAGATAGAGTCAAAATCTTAAGAGTAGGCGCCACAACCAAGTAGTCTGGGACAGTTTTTCCTAGCTTTATGACTTGGCACCACTGAAATATTTTGGATTAATTTTCTAGTAAAACGAGTGGTGTGGTAGCTGAATCTGCGGCAAGTATTAAAATAAGGAAATACAGTTCATATATTATAGAACAGAACCATATTTTTATACCTTTCGCAGTAGAGACATTGGGACCTTGGTGTAGAGAATTTTGTGGAATACCTGGGAAAACGCATTACCAATATTACTGGGAACCCAGAGCTACCACTTACTTACGACAAATTTAAGTATTGCCATACAACGTGCAGGTAACGCGGCCAGTCAGTGTAATGGGGACCACGAAGAATTATCATTTATTAACGAGCTCCTAGCGAGTTTATAATTTTGCGGTGTCTGTCCGTCCGTTAGCACGATATCTCGATAACTAATGGAGCGATTACGATAAAATTTTGTAGGTGGATTCTTTACGAGATTCTTTATTAAATTTGTAGATCGGAGTTCGTGAACTGGCAATGTAACCCAAAAAATAAGGAAAGGCCCTTTTGACATCTCCGTGAGTTATGAACCGAATTGCATGAAATTCAATATGCGTATAGCTTTAGCCATATAAAACGCAATTCCAAAAATTGAGCCTAATCGATCAACATTCACAATGCTCTTTTCGCATTTCGACCATTTATAAACCGAATTGCAAACTTTTTTATTGATGAAGGATTTAAATGAAATTTGATACATAACCACTTGGAATAAAAGCAAACATAACACTAGTTTCAAAATTTGGTTTTGCGCATGCGCAGTGCCAACTTTCTTATTTATGGAGGCATTCAAATGAAATTTGAAACATAACCACTTGGAATAAAAGTAAATGTTGGAAAATTAGTAGTTGTGATAAGTTTTTCTTAAATATTTAAAAAACTATACTATTTAGCGCGAAATAAAATAAATAATCTACAGTAAATTGCGAACAAAAATGGCCTCATATATATATCTTGCTAAATTGAACCATTCCAGAGTTACGGAGGGTGTAACAGTAGAAATTTTTCATCTTTTTTTTTAGATTCTTTTGGAAAAAATATGAGATTATCACTAAGGAAACTATTTTTTTTGTTAAAACCGGTTAAAACAAATTGCGCTTTAGTGACCGGTGGTATGTTACTGATAAGTCCTTGAACTAACGATAACCTTACCACCTTCTCAAGGGGGGCCATTTTTTCAAGAGACTTCCACTATGAGGGACAGTAATTCCTGGGGAGTTGCAGGATGTGTTGTTATTGCTCTCAGGTGTTCGACAATCTTGCATTCCCACTTCATCGGGTTCTTCTTCTCATGCAGCCACTGCTGCACCTGATGGTAAGTTCTAAATGAATGTTCCACCTGGTAGCTGCTGAAGTGGGGAGAAGCGCAGCCAACTTGAACAGTGAATTTATAGGATGCTTTAAAATAACTTGCAAGTAACACTGGTAACGAAAACAAGCCAGATCTTCAGTGTTCTTTACTTCAAACATGATTTCATTTTTCCAGAAAATCGAAAAAATACGAAAAATGCATACTTTTACACCCTCCGTAACTCTGGAATCGTTGACTTGAGCAAGATTATACACATGACCATTTTTATTCACAATTTAATGTAGATTATTTTGGATATGGTACTTTTCTCACCAAACCCCATAGTTTTCTAAATATTTAAGAAAAACACCAAAAACTACTAATTTACCAACTTGTGTAACTTTTTACCAAACAATATGTGGACTATATACAAAGCGATCAAAAATGAGTGACCGTCGAGTCACCTTTGGAAATTTTGTTTACAAGGGAAATCGTACTTAATTTGTACTTCCAAAGGCGACTCGACAGTCACTCATTTTTGATCGCCCGATAGAACAATTTGCAGTTAATGGGAAACTTTTACTTTTGATGTTTAGGTTAAGCCGTTTTGTCGACTAATTGCACCGTACGTAGGTACGTACCTAATATGGAAATTTTAAAATTAAAAATTCATAATATAGTACGGTGCAATTAGTCGACAAAACGGCTTAACCTAAACATCAAAAGTAAAAGTTTCCCATTAACTGCAAATTGTTCTATCGGGCGATCAAAAATGAGTGACTGTCGAGTCGCCTTTGGAAGTACAAATTAAGTACGATTTCCCTTGTAAACAAAATTTCCAAAGGTGACTCGACGGTCACTCATTTTTGATCGCTTTGTATATAGTCCACATATTGTTTGGTAAAAAGTTACACAAGTTGGTAAATTAGTAGTTTTTGGTGTTTTTCTCTGTTTCTTGTGAAATTTTTCTGTTTTGTGCTCTACTCACTAAACAATTCTTTTTGTAAGTCACAGTATTAATTTCACTACCACAGTATTGCGAGCTAAATCGTTTAGAACACAGCGCAGTGCAAAATTTGAAAATTTCAACGAACGTACCTACTCATAACCTATATAAAGTCGTTAAATCAATCAGCATATTTGTTAATTCTGCTAAAAAACAAAGAAGCAGTTCTTATATACTTATGTGTAATTTCCGTAGCTAACTAATTTTTATGGTGCAAATAAGGCATATGTATTTTATATGATTAATACACTCCATTAATATACGACCAATCAGCTAGGTGATTGTTTCAAATTCTAACCAATCAGATGATTTTTTATCTGATTAAATGCTAGGTAGCTTTTTACAGCGATAAAAATGCGTGTAGGAATACGTAAAATATGTAGTGGTTGTAAAATTTACTGTCTTTTATTAATCTCCCTAAAATACACTCGACCTTGGTCAGGATAATTTTATTTTTAATTCACTCAAATTTTGTTGCCTCCTGGAGAAAAACTCTCGATCAAAAGCATAATATTAATAAAATCGCTCCAGCTAAAACTGTCGCGATTTTATCACACCTTTGGTTTCGAGTTTTTTTTCGTTGCAACAAAACTTTCGTATAAAAATAAAATTATGCGATTAAAAATCAAGCTCTTGTGTATTTACTCTCGATAAATTATATACCTATGTACGTCACGTCGACTACTATCTAAAGGTGTTTTTTTAACAATACATATTTACCAACATTCACACAATTGACGCGCCTGTAAACCCTTGATGTGACAAATAATTTACAACTTTTGCGCATCCATAAAGGATTTAAGTGAGTTTGTACCTGCATACCTCACCGTCAGTTTACTTCGAAATGAAGGGTTACAATCTTGCTACTTTATATACAAATTTTAGTATTTTTATTGGAACTTTTTACTTTACACAGAACGATGAATCCAAAAAGTAAAGGACTTCAAATTGAAATAATTTGATTATTATTTCCGACCCTAAGAGGGACAGATTTGCACATTGGGGTTTAAAAAAGGTAAAGAGTTTGACCATCCCAAATGCGGTGTCTGTCCGTTAGCACAATAGTTCGATAACGAATGGACCGATTACGATGAAATGTTGTAGTTGGATTCTTTATCAAATTTGTAGATCGAAGTTCGTAATTGGTAATGTATCCCAAAAAATAAGTAAGGCCCTTTTGACATCTGCGTGAGTTTTGAACCGAATTGCATAAAATTCAATATTTGTATAGCTTAAGCTATATAACACGCAATTCCAAAAATTGAGCCTAATCTATCAACATTCACATCGACGTGTAAATAAATATAGAAAACGAGCTCCTGGGTAAGGCTACAGCATGTGCAAAACCGAATTTTGAACTTGGTGTTAGTTTTGCTTTTATTTAATGTGTATATGTATGAAATTTCATTTAATTGCTTCCATAAATAAGAAAATTGGCACCACACATCATGCACAAAACCAAATTTTGAAACTGGCGTTAAATTTGCTTTTATTCCAAGTGGCTATGTATCAAATTTCTTTTAAATGCTTCCATAAATAAGAAAGTTTTCAATCCGGTTTGTAAATGGTCGAGATGCGAAAAGAGCACTGTGAATGTTGATCGATTAGGCTCAACTTTTGGAATTGCATTTTATATGGCTAAAGCTATACACATACTGAATTTCATAAAATTCGGTTCATAAC